ATGAGATGTTTATCCTCTATTTGATTATGTTTATCCATAGTTAGTTACACGAATTCAAACATAGAGCTTTAATAAATTGTATTTATGCATACTTTATTTGTAATCTTGAATTTTAAATAATATACATCAATATAAAATACTTTATACATAAAAAATTATTTTTAAGAATTTTTTTCAAGTAATTTATAATATAGTATATACATAATTGATAGTGATGTATTTGGATTTGATGTTAATACGTTGACTTAGTTGACATAATTGGGTGTTAACAATTTGACCCAATAATTGATAGTGATGTATTTGGATTCATTTTTTTTTTCCAAAAAATTACCTACTTTTTTTAAAATAAAAATTAAATTAAAAAATTTCTTTTATATTAAATTATCTAGAATATAAAAAACATTTTATTTAAACAAATTACATCAAAAAAATTTAAATTTAGTTATCTTTAATTTGAGATTCATTATGACACATATTTTTAAGATTTACATATGGATTTTAAAGTAATACAAAATCTCGGTTATAATTAAGATTCACATATGAATCTATGTTATATGATTCACATATTAATATATGAACAAATATACATCTAATTATCATATTAATTATTGGATTTCTTACGTCTGGTCACATTTTAAACAACCAATGATGAAAATAGATGTTCGTGTTCAAATATGAGATTTATGTAAATGAGACTTAATTCGATAAAAAATCGATAATTATTAATATCTAATTTTTTTAGGAAAAATAAGCGATATATTTAAATATTTGATTTTTTTATAGTTATCTTAATTAGGGAAAAAGATCTGAAAATAAAAAATTAAACTAGTGGTTGAGATTGCTTCTTTGATTCCTAAAATTTCAAGACGTCTTATTTATTGGGTTGCATTGTTTGTACAAATGTGATGAGTTGCATTTGAAACAAACTCTCTCTCTCTCTCTCTCTCTCTCTCTCTCTCTCTCTATATATATATATATATATATATATACTACAATTAAATTTTTTCCTCTCTAACATTTGCACTTTCCAATGGATATCGTCTCTAAATTCATAAACTTGGTTTCGGTTTTGGTTCCTCCGTCAATCCAAATACAAAGTATATAAAAATCAAAATAATTCAAGCAATAAATGGATATCCCAAGAACATCAATAATAACCTAAAACCAAAACTCAAAATGAAAACCCTAAACGCGAGGGGATGTTTACTGAACATTTATCCAAACCAAGTTTATAAAGTTTAGGGATGATATCCATTAAAAAGTAAAAACATCAAGGACCAAAATTGAACTTTATGATATAGAGTAACTTTCCTCTTTGTTGTTTTTATTGGTTTGAGTCTCCATAAAATTTTATTTGCAAGAAAACCCTTAAGATACACAAAAATGCTTGGTTTAGGTATCTCTCACTAACACCGTTAAAAAAGAACCCGTCAAATCAAGGGCATTGTGGTCATTTTTTTCTTTACTTCCTATTAAATTAAAAAAAAAACAATATATGATACACAAACATCATCTCATCGACACTATCTTCGGTGCCCCCTTTCATCTCCTGCGTGCCCCTCGTCTTCGGTTCCAAAAGCACCTCGATTCCCTTTTGTGATTTGAGGTTTTTGTAGAACAGAAACAACATATCCATAGTTAGGGTTTTGTTGCAATTAATCCTTTGCAGGGGGTTACAATTTTCGTCTCTAAATGGTGTGGGTTGCTTCAATGGTCGTGGGATGGTTCGATGACAGAGATGGGTTTTGGAGGGAGTCACTTCAATGACATCGATTACAAAATGGTTCAAGGAGGTTTATCATTTCCGGTTTTGTGGGGTTTCATGTTTATTGTTTTAAAAATAAATAAATGCTTGTGGGTGTGCCAGTGCGGTCTTAGATCGCTGGAGGGTAAGAGGAGCTTGTTGGGGGGAAGAAGAGGTCGGTAGGGGTGCCCAAAACCCGAATGGTCTGAAAATTCGAATTCAAAGCGAAAATGAGGTGTTTGTGCTAAAAACATGAATGTCCCAAAATCTGAAACCTAAGGTTTCTGGATATTTAGATTCAGGTTGGATTTGGTTTTTAGTCACCCGACCTGCCCAAAAACCCGAATCCTAAAATCAAGTGGACCGTATAATTCTCAAAACTAATTGAATTTGTCCTCATAGTTGAATATATATATATATATATATATATATATCTTGGTTCAAATACTAACCGTGATAATTTTGTTAACCAATCTTGGCAATTGATTCTTACAATAAAGGGTTGTGATTAATCATGAGAAAAAATTAAATTTTTAAATTTACAATTTCAAAAAACACATGTGAACAAAAGGAAAAAGGGTATTTATGTAATTTTTTATGTAACTCCCATATCATTAATTGAGAGTTACAAAATCAAAAAATCTTATTATTTTTATTTCATATAATATTTAATGAAATTTTAATGAAACGGTTTCATGTATTTCTCTAAAATTAAAATAATGAAGATAATATCCATGATTAACACCCTTCACAATAAAAATGGTTAATCAACCTCTCATAATAAAAAAAAAATGAACAAAATGAAAAATTATGATTGGTTGAATGTGGTTTTCACGATTTGTACAAATTGAGTGGTTTTTATTTGAACGCTCCTCTCTCTCTCTCTCTCTCTATATATATATATATATATATATAGGTGGGTTACGTTATAAATCGTCCAATTCATGAAAAGTATGCGAACTACTTTCGACCAGTAGAAAATTTTCGGTTTTTTCTTTAATTTTAATAAGTAAGGGTATAATAATCATTTGATTGTATACTGGTTAATATTGAAAGATAATAATTACTCTTAATTACGGAAACGTAATAATAGAAACATTTAATATAGAAGGTGGTAATCAATTTTTCTTAATATAATTTTTTTAACATTAATAGTTTTTATTATTTTATTAAATCATACTTATTAAAATATGAATTGTAAGAGCACTATAATATGAAATCTGATTTTGTTTCATTGATAAAATATATGTAGTTTGAATAATGAAACGAATGTCATATATTGACCATGAAATCTAATTTTGTTCATGATCACTATTGACCATGACTAAAAAGTATACGAGACATGAAAACCATTAAACTGAATTTTAATTTGATTTCAACCGAAAACCCCCAAAACATTCTTTTCTAGCTAATGTTGTAGCTGTTATATTTTTTGTTCAATCTTGAAAATTTAATCTTCAAATCAAGAATGCTCGGGATTCAAAGGGGGAAATCGGACGCTGTAACACCCTAAAAAAAGATAGTCTAAACCGAAAATATCTAACAAGAACCAGAATCTTATATAAATTTTTTTTTCACCCAACGAAAGTAATAGTATAGCGTTTACAATTATGCTACTGAGAAGATAAATAACAACATACTAATTTAGATTATTCTAGATTAAAGACGGGTATTTCTATCAATCTCCAAAAAGCCATAACATCAAAAACACAACGTTCAAAAGAAACAAGGCTATAATTACAAAAGAGACTTTCACGAACCAACGCTCCTCTCAACCCTTTAGAGCCCCTTCGTTAAAAGAACCTAAAAAGTAATTATTACAAGAAAGAGAGAGGGTTAGACTTACGCCTAGTGAGTACAAACAAAAGAGTTTACGTAAACATAAAGGAACATATATAAAAATATACATGCAAATAGTTGACGTAACTTTAAACAGGAATAGAGACAGTAAGACCYGAATAACTCGAAGTGGAACAATAAAACATCCRAARATGACGGGGGAGACCCGATTTACCGTTGATTATGACAGACACAAAGTAAGTCATAGATCAACGTTATAGAGCATCACTCACAAGTTTAATACCATCGACATCAACCTAAACCAGTCATGTAGTCGGCCGTGATCTTAAGCTCTTTACCTCGGTAATTACACAATAATCACAATGCCTATTACCGAGTGAAAGTAAGAGGATGATTTGGTGATTACATAATAATCACAATGCCTATCACCAACTTACACCATCATTCCCACGAATAAAATAAAACGATATACATGCACTATATAAATATAAATAATGACGTAGTATCGTACGATATTTATATATATAGAAAAT